GAGAGAGAGAGAGAGAGAGAGTTTGTTTGTGTGTAACATACAGAGAAAAGAAGGAAGACAGATAAGAATGATAGGAGTTTGATAGGAAAGAAGGGGCAAACCACTTCAGAGTAACCACCATATACTAACAACTTATTTTAAGAATTTATACACATAGACATACACACATACAGACATAAACACGTACTCATGCACACATACACGCGGACATACTCGGTCCCATAATTTCCCTCTGGGATAATAAAGAATTTTCTTATCTTATCTTATCGTATACACACATACCCACATACACACGTACTTACACACCCACACAAACACACACACATAGACACACTCGCGAACACATAATTATTGGATGAGATTGCTGGTTCGAGGGTTCGAGCCTCCGTTCCATGCTACGATTTGTCCTTGGGAAAGGCACTTTACCCGAATTTCCCACTTGGCTGGGTCCTTTTGGAGATGGAGATGGACGTTAAATACGGAGGTACCCGCTTCTTAATAAATCATCTTGTGGTCACTTGGCGCAATAATGCGACTGTGAAAATATGTGAGGCAGCGTGGTGAAATCAGGCGCTGGTCAAAATATTGAAAGTCAAGAAACTGGTATTTTACCGCAGGTTTGGGAATTTTTATTGAATTTTAGTTTTTTGGCTCAACACCTTTTATGACCATTACAGAACACATTTCTGTGTGTATTTTACTGAAAAACGTTGATTAAAGTCATAAAAGATGTAAGTTTTCAGTTTCTACGGACTCTCCAGCTAAGGAAATAACTCAAACTTTGGCAGCCATTTTCTCGCTAATTTTACCTTTAAAGCCAAGCCACCCCCATCTTCTTCAATTGCCAATATCTTGGCATGTATTCAAGATAAATGGATATTTTTTCATTAAAAGCAAGGCAAATGGACAGGTTTTAAGATGAAAGCAATAACTCTATATGCCCCAAAATTGACAAACGCCTGAATCCACCGGGTACTGACACATATTATTCTTTCCGGTCACTAGACAAAGTTCTGCAACAGGCCAGAGAAGTTTGTTGCAGCCACTCTCGTGGCTGGGTGACCAGATGGGGTATTTTGTACTGCTAGCTATGTGTCTGCAACATGCTTAACCCTATCCGTACGCCCCAGGGTCATTTTGTACCCCCGGGGTTGTATTCTTCACAGTTTAGAATACTTCTAACACGAAGATCTCTTTGAAACTTTCCGCATTTCTCAAAAAATCATTTTGACAGACTGCAATGCATTAAGCGTACGGATCGGATTAAAGAGTAAATTTCCTCAACGGAAAGTGGTGGCACAGAGTTCCCCACGTCGTATTGACACGGTAGTAACACACGACGTACGGATAGGGTTAAATAACTTAAAAGTGTTGATAGCGGCGTTAAACAGATACTATTTCACCAGTTTTCACACTTAGTGGAACGATCAAGGCCACCCTGTGGTCACAGAAACCGTGCACCCCGAGCACTCCCGAAGGTCATGACCTTTGGCTTGTGGCGACTCTATCACCTCGATAGGCTCATTAATGATTGAACAGCTTAATTGTCTTTGCATTATTTTTCAAGGCCTTCTCCATGCTCTTCTTCATCTTCTTCTTCTTCTTCTTCATCTTCTTCTTCTTCTTCTTCTTCTTCTTCTTCTTCTTCTTCTTCTTCTTCTTC